TCCAGCTCTGGCAGTTATGACCATTTGGGGAGTGAACCATCAAATGGAAGACCTCTCTCTCTCTGCCTCTTTAACTCTGCCTTTCAAATAAAATAAAATCTTTTTTAAAAAAGTGAATTAAGGGAAAGGATATCATTTGAAAGTCATCACTGGATATGAGAAGACAAACAAAACTAAGCAGTACCATTATCGAAAAAACTCAAATCATTTAGGAGGTAAAACCAACATGCCTTCCCAGGCAACAGATGTAAGGGACGAAAGGGAAGAGGCTGAGGGTCTGAATTCAACTAAGAGTAACTAGATCATGGGCAACAGTGTTAGCAACACGGGAGAGAGCAGGAGGAAGATCGGAGGAAGTTAAAATGATCTTTGTTTTGCGCATAAGTTTGAAGTGGGAGAATGAGATCAGGCTACTTAGGGCACAGGTGGAGGAACACGCATGGCATCCTAATTGAAGGTCAGAGCAAAGCTGTGCAAGTGGAGAGTGGATGACTCCATCCCCTAGGGCATCTGTGAGACGATGCCAGTGACGGGACACTGGAGACGTTAACCTTTGAGGGTCAGGAAGAGAAGGATCCCACAAAGGCGTCCAGGAAGGAGGCCCAGGAAGGAGTGGAGTCTTGGCTCACCAAGGAGCACGTTTCAGGAACACAGCTGTGTGATGAAGACCAGCCAGCCGAAGGCTGCAAATCGGTGAACCCGCCCAAGGTAATGTCCGTGGGATGACAGGACGGAAGCCAGGCTAAAGCATCACTGTCCATCCAACTGGACTCACGACTTGGAAAAGCCAATACAGATCCCTGAATCCACGCCCCGATCTAGTCACCAGAGATCCTAAGTTTAAACAACTTCCTCAGGCCCTCCATCAGCAGTCCTTGGGGCAGTCAAGCAGATGCTTGGATCTCAACCAAGGGGATTCCTGCTCTATAAGAGCACCCAATGGAAGAATCCATGTGCTCAGTGTAGTTGAGAGGAACTAGAACAGCTCCCAGTGGCTTCCTGGCCCGGTCCTAGTCACTGGGGCTTCCTCAGTACCACGGCTGAGTCAAGTGACCGCAGTCAAAGATGGAGACCTCAAAGTGCGAATCTCAGGTAAGGGCTGATCGTCACCCAAAGAGCACGCACTCTAGAAAGGGCCAGTGGCCGTGGCTGTCAGGGCGGACCACCCAGCAGATGCCTCTTCTTCTCTCCTAGGCCCTCTTCACATAACGAAAACAAACAGTTACCTGAGAGAACCACGGAATGTCCTCACCAAGGACAGGGAGATGGAAAAAAACAAGCCCAGTCACAAATTAAAAACATTCATGCAGGAGAACAGGAAGCTTAACTGATGCCATGGCAACACCTCAGCCTCTGTAGCAGGGCAAAGAATAAAGGCAAAGATTTGCAAGAGTTCCCTTCCTGTGGGCTTTCTCTCCCTTGAAATCCGACCCATGCTACTTATTTGAAAGTGCTCGAAGGACTCATTTTGGTACTGTTTGGGAAGAGAGCGATGGAAACTTCTCTTGGTACCTTTCTCCAACATATTCCAGGAGATTTGGCCAAAACCTCATGCTAGAAATCGGCTGAGTGCTGTGATCTCATTAATATGCAATGAGATTCTATTTCAAACAGCTGTGGACACTGGGCGACCAATCAGCTCCAGGGTGAGGATATAAATGCACAACTAGAAATATTTGGAAAAAAAAAAAAAAAAAGAAAGGGACAATGGGATAAGCTGAAGCTTCACCATCACGCTAGGCTGGGGGTTTAAAGAGGAAGACGGATAGTTTGTAAGGGAGCGTGGCTACCCCCAGGTTAGAGTGGAAAATTACCAAGAGCTGTGACAGGACAGCATGAGTAAGAGAAGCTGTTGGGAACGCGCCCCCACCCCCCCACCACATTCCTCGGCCTCAGCTGCACGGTATAAAAGCCCCCTCTGTAAAAGCCTGAAGCTGCTTCAGGCAGAAGCCAGAGACAACCTGAGCAGTGCCTGGCCCAGCTCATCAGTGGGCCGCAGTCGTTTGTCCAGTATTTAAAAATAGTGATTACAGAGATTGTTGTCTTCAGTGTCAAATGATTCTTTCAGATAGGCAGAACGTACAAGCTATTTTAAGGGACCATAGTCCTATTTTCTTTACTAAGCACGAACAAAAGTTCCATTAGGTAACTTGTGACACACTCACAGATGACGGAATCCTAGCCGTTCATCTTTGATCTCTGCTGGCGAATTTGAAGAGGCACTAAAATGACTGAGAAACGCCCTGTTGAAGGAGTTAATTTATCAGAGACAAGAGGTTTGAGTATTTAATCCAAGGCACCATACCCACATGTAAGCGGACAAACGTGAACTACACCTCAAGCTGGGGCCAGTGTTGCAAGATGGGTTAGGCTGCCATGCGAGACAGCAGCATTTCATGCGAGTGCCATTTTGACTCCTGGCTGCTCCACTTGGGATCTAGCTCCCTGCTCATGCACTCCCACTGGGAAAGCAGAGGAAGATGGCCCAAGTGCTGGGGCCTCTGCCACCCACGTGGGAGACCCAGATGAAGCTCTTGGCTCCACCTGGCCCAGCCCTGGCTGTTGCAGCCATGTGGGTGAAGTAGGCAAGCATATAGGTTAAAGTTGATTAGGTTTGTGAGCTGGGAGACCACGCCTTCGCCACGCCCCTGTGTGACTTCACGCCCTACCCAATACCTCACCACACCCCCACGTGACATCAGGCTCTACCTGACCATACCTAAGCGCCCACCTGCCCACAAGCTCCGCCCCTGTAGAAAATATATAAAAAGGCAAGGAGTGTCGCAAAAGGCTCTCTTCCTCTGCTTGGCTGCCTGTGATAAGCGGTGGATAGCAGCTCAAGGCGCTGGCTGCACGTGGCTTTTGGCCTGCTCTCTGCTTGGTATGGATGCTACCCTAGTTTCCAGACTTTACCCTCTCTCCAAGCTGAACTAAAGCCCTCACTTTCCTAGATACCTTTCGCACTAAATAAAAGCTTAAAATGTACCATGCTGCCTCGTTTATCTGTGCCGGTATTTAGAATTCTCTAAATATTAGGCAAGAACCCTCTTGGGCTTATTGATATTGGGGATTTATTAATAAGCATATGTGAAATTGTATGGCCACCCAATTGCCGGTAGTGTTACGCCGTCACAAAACACACCAAACACCGGAGTAAGGGAAAGGGTTTATTGGGGAAAATCCAGCAGACCGGAGGGAAGGGGCGAAAAAGGAAAAAGGGAGAGGAGAGTACAAGAGACAGAGGAGAGGAGCCAAGAGAGCCACGTGTTCAGGTACAGACCCTTTTAAAACTTTGCCGGAGGGCGGGCAAGGAAGCAGGAATAGCCAACCCCATTAGGTTCGGGGTGGAGCTTAGCACCGGCGGCTGAGCCATGTGGCTACCTGGCTTTCAGCAATGGCGGCCGGGGCTAGGGCCTAGGATGTAGATCAGGGTGTAGATCGCGCCATAGATAAAACTGCACCAGTTTCCTAACAGGTAGCACATGTGGCACCCCAGATGGTGCTTCTGGGGAACTTTAAAGGGCCACATGTTTGTGTAGATTTTAAGGGGTCATGCCCGATTTCACGGGGAGTGTACCAGCAGATGGAAGCACTCCCAGGCACGTGCTCTAACTCTGCCTTTCAATTAAATAAGCCTTAAAACACAAAAAGCCTCAACTCAAGGTGATTTCAATCACTTCCTTACTCCTGTGGTGTTTGGAAGGAGATAACTTCTTATTAGGATGGAGGAGATTCCAGAGCCAGTAGGAAGGGAGCTTGCCATTCACCTTGAATCTCTGCCTCCACAGGTGCTGTACTTACAGTGCCAAAAAAATACATGGACGAGTGGAGCGTTGTGCTGCAGCCAGAAACATGTGGGTTAGATACAAGGAAGAGCCTTCCTCCTATCAACGTACTGAGAAGTGGTGCCCTGTTACTAAGAAGGGTTCCCTGGGGTCGGAAGCCCATGGTTAAGACCTGCATCCCACACTGGAGTGCCTGGGTGTAACGCCCCACTCCAGCCGCTGACTCCAGCTCGCTGCTAATGCAGTCCCGGGGAGGCAGTGGTGATGGCTCCAGTAATGGGATTCCTGCCACCCCCGTGAGCGACCTGGATTGAGTTCCTGGATTGAGTCTCTGACTAGCCAGCCATGGCAGTAAACCAGGGATGGCGGCACTCTCTTGAGTGTTCTCACACTCTCTCAAGTAATTAAAAGGGGTCTCAGCTTTACTTTTTTTAAATAAAATATTTTATTTGAGAGGCAGAGTGAGGTCCTCCTTTCACTAATTTGTGGCCACAACAGCTGGAGCTGCGTTGATCCGAAGCCAGGTGCTTCTTCCGGGTCTCCCACGTGGGTGCAGGGGCCCAAGAGCCTGGGCCATCCTCTACTGCTTTTCCCAGGCCACAGCAGAGAGCTGGATTGGAGGAGCAGCAGCCAGGACTAGAACCGGCACCCATATGGGATGCCGGTGCCACAGACAGAGGATTAACCTACTGCGCCACAGCGCCAGCCCCCTCTGTTATTTTAGAAATGGCATTTATCTACTTCTAGTTCTGAAAACTTAGTGTAGGATCCTAATTACAAGAATGCAACTTTGATTCTGGCTAACCTGGGATGCCTGTAAAAACACACGTTACTGGGTTCTACCTCAGACCCAATGAAGGAGCCCAGGAATCCTGTGTTTTTAGGTTTGAAAGCCACCGATGGAAGCCCAGCGAGATCAAGCTGTCAACCCTGTCGGGGAAATGAATGCTGTCACGAGCGGAAACCACCGAGGCTGATGAGTCACAAGCACCTCAGGAGTGAGCCAGGAATGCAAGACTGGGGGGGGGGGGGGGGGGTTGCGCCCAGGTTGCACGCTGCGTTCCACCGCCCGGCCTGCCACTCTCTCCACGGCAAGACTTCCCCGAAGCCTCCGGGGGGTCTTAGGCTGCAGCTGGAACCCAGAGGAGAAGGGGAGACGTGGCAGCCTGTTCCCGATCCCCGGCCCTGCACCGCGCCTGCAGCGCGACCACTTACCCAAATCCGACAGCCTTTTCACCAAGCCGGCGTCTCGAATGGCAGCTGGACCACATTCCACTCCTTTCCGTTTCTGCCACACAAATGACACAGTCAGGGGCGAGGGACGACCTCGGGGGGCCGGGGGAGTTCAGTGTCCCCCCATACACACACACCATAAAGCAATCGGCGGCGCTCAGCTCGCAGCCCGTGCAAACGTGCGGCAGCATCAGCCCTCGCGTTCCCTCCCCGCGGAGGCCCGGCCGTTCCAGCTAACCCTTGCGGGAGAGGAGAGGGAACGGAACAAAGCCTGCGTGCCGGGGACTCCAGCTTCAGCGCCCCTCTTTGTGAGAAGAGCGGGCAGAGGCCCCACGCGGGGAGCGCCGGGGCTGGCGAGCGCCTCCTGCGCCGCCGCGGGCTCCTCTGCTTAAGGAGAGAACAAAACGGGTGCTCCCAGTCCCTGCTCCCGCAGCCCGTGGGTTTCCGCTCCGAGCACTGCGGCCAGCTCGGCCTCCTTCTCCTCCTCCTCGGCTCCATCACGCACGGTCCTCCCCGGCCCGCTCCCGCCCGCACCGCGCACCGCGCACCGCGCCCTCCCTGCCCGTCTTCCACCCCGGGAACCCCACCTGCTCCCCGGTGCCCAGTCGTGGAGCCGACCGGCTCCCTTCCCGCGCCGCTTCTCGCCATCCTCTCCCCTCGGCCCCGGTCCCCCGCACACCACCGCCCTTTTCTCCCGCGTCGGGGCTGGGCTGGGGGTGCCTCTCACCTGTCCCTGAGAAAACGGGGCTCCGATCACTGCCACAGAGTGGACGGATTTCTTCAGGACCGACTGCACTCGCGTCCGCAGCAGACGCGAGACGCAGCTCCCGTAGGACATGGTCTAGCAGCGCGCGGGGACGCCGAAGCGCGACCAGATCCGTGCGGCTCGCAGCCCCGAGTGCGAGCGCGGACCCCTGCCGCGGCGCTCACCTACAGGCGCGAGCGGCAGCCCCGCCCCGTGACGTCACCGCCAGGTCCCGCCCCCCGCGCCCCCAGCCGGCCCCCGCCATACCTTCCGCAGGCCCCGCCCCCTGGCCGCGGGCCCGGGACACGCCCCGCCGGCGTCACCGTCGGGTCTGGGCGCTCGGTGCAGTAGCTGCAGCTGGCTGAGGCCAGGAGGCGGGTGGCGAGGTCTGGCCAATGGGAGCGCCGTGACGGACAGGTGTGTCTCCACGCCGTACCGAGTCCGCGAGCTCTCGGAACGCGAGAGCCCTCAGTCTTTCCGATCGTGCGCCCCGGGAGGTGCTAGCTCCACCGCCTGGCTGCTGGGCGGGCCAGCCCCCGGTGCGCGCTCGGCGCAGACAAGGCCAGGACCATCTATCTGCTCCGTTCCATCTCAAAGCTCAAAGTCCAGAAAACACTGTGGCCTTAACTTTGGGCGTGGACATCTGGGAGGTCAGATGCAGATCAGAACCCTCTGCACTGGCAAGTTAATGAAGATCCACCTGCCTTAGGTTTGCTGGCCGGGAGACGAGATGTTTTCAATTATATACCTGTAAAACGGGAGTATTGGCCACTAAAAAACAAATACAGTGACATTGGGACTATTGCAAAATTACAGGGAGGCTCCAGGGCTAAACACTAAGTAACTAGTTAGGTTTTTTTTTTTTTAAATAATATGTATTTATTTATTTATTTGAAAGTCAGAGTTGCACAGAGGAAGAGACAAGAGAGAAATCTTCCATCTTCTGGTTCACTCCCCAAACGGCCACAACAGACAGGGCTGGGCCAGCCAGGAGCCAGGAGCTTCCGCCTGGTTTCCCACGCAGGTGCAGAGGCCAAGCACTTGGGCCATCCTCTGCAGCTTTCCCAGGTGCATTAGCAGGGAGCTGGATTGGAAGTGGAACAACCAGGACTAAAATTGGCGCCCATATGGGATGTCGGACATCGCAGGCAGTGGCTTTACCCACTGTGCCACAATGCAGGCCCCACTAATCAGTTTTAATAATAATGTTTATCTCTTAAAATTCCTTTTTAAAAAAATTTGATGGGGGCATGCGCTGCGGCTTATCGCGTAAAGCTGCTACCTGCGATGCTGGCATCCCATATGGACGCCCATTCGAGTCCCAGCTGCTCCTCTTCCGATCCAGCTCTCTGCTGTGGCCTGGGAAAGCAGTAGAAGATGGCCCAAGTCCTTGGGCCCCTGCACCCGTGTGGGAGACCCGGAGGAAACTCCTGGCTCCTGGGTTCGGATCGACTCAGCTCCAGCCATTGCGGCCATTTGGGGAGTGAACCATTAGATGGAAAACCTCTCTCTCTCTCTCTCACTTTGCCTTTCAAGTAAATAAATCTTTTTAAAAAAAGTGATTACCATACAATATTTGTCCATTTTTATGGGCTACAGTGGAATATTTCAGCACATATACAGCATAAATTGACCAAACCAGGAAACCAGCCTTTAACAACACTTTAATAATAACCAATTAAAGTTCTAAGAACTTATCCCTCCAATAATTCTGTAAAGTAGGGCCATCTTGCAGGGTCTTAGTCCACCCGAATGAGGATGGACTGGGTCCGAAGAAAGGTAAGCTCGCCCATTCCCCAGCCCCTCCCCCCATCCTGGGGACAGTCAGACGCAGCGGAGAGTCAAGTCAAGTAAGCAAGAACTCATTTATTGCATGCATAGCAAAGCCTTTTAAAGCACAAGACTGCAGGATTGCTGGGGCAGGGCATAAGGACCAACCAATTACTTAAAAGGTCATTTTACGGGGCGACTTTTTACAGGACCAGCCATATGTCTGTACACTCATCATCAGTTGTCACTTCCCCTGATGCTGCTTGGCCAATCAGCTTTGGTGGTAAACGCCTTTGGGCACCGCCCACCTTACTTCCTTTGGGCGCCATCTTTGAATTGCCTCGTGTGCCTGATTTCCCCACACCATCTATTATTTAACAATAGATAGTGTGTGTGTGGGGGGAGCCAATGTAATCCATAAGCTGTACTTTGGAAATCTATGTTCATTAAATAAAAGTTAAAAAAAAATTCACACTATTCAAAGACACGCTTTTTTTGGGAAATCTTGAGAACTTTTTTTAAGGATCAACAATAAAAATATCCTTTAAATCTGCCAAAAAAAAAAAAAAACAATAGATAGTGTATTAAAATAGTTGGCTTAAAAAATATTTAAGTAGTTGGCTTAGGCGTCTGCAACCTGGACTTCTGGAAGTAATCTGCTTATCAGTCTCACCTGGAACCCATCCCCCGTCTAAGAGCCTTCACCACAACGTTCTTTTCTCCGGTGATTTTCACAAAGTCTCGGTAGACATCTGAACTGCTCCTTTCATGCTGAGATTTTTTCCTTTCCTCTGATGGAGCTAGCACACACCTGCTTCAGGGATTTGACGTTGTGGCTACTCAGGGTGGTCCTAATTGGGTAAACCTGGGTCCATGGGTGTCTTTCTGGTACGTTGAAAAGTACATGGCTGTGGCTGGTGCTGCGGCTCACTAGGCTAATCCTCCACCTGCGGCGCCGGCACACTGGGTTCTAGTCCCAGTTGGGGCGCCGGATTCTGTCCCGGTTGCCCCTCTTCCAGGCCAGCTCTCTGCTGTGGCCCAGGACTGCAGTGGAGGATGGCCCAAGTGCTTGGGCCCTGCACCCCATGGGAGACCAGGAGAAGTACCTGGCTCCTGGATTTTGATCAGCACAATGCGCCAGCCGCGGCGGACATTGGAGGGTAAACCAACGGCAAAAGGAAGGCCTGTCTCTCTCTCTCACTGTCCACTCTGCCTGTCAAAAAATTAAAAAATAAAAGCCATGGCCATGGCCCAGCTTCCTGATCTACTTGTTCTGAAGTAACACCTTGACAGTTGGGACTCCATTTTGGAGAACCTGAGACTCCATTCTGGGAAGGTGCCCTCCCTCCCCCCCCACACACACACCAGAGACTCTGGTCTTGAAATCGGAAAAGACCCCCTAAAGTTTACCCTGAAATGTGGCCCCTTAAAGTTCCCTAGAAATGCTATCAGGGGTGCCACATGCGCTACCGGAATTTGGGGTCCCTTACGATTTCACCACAGGCTTATTACCAAATCCCCGATATTAATAAGCCCGAGAGGGTTCTTGCCTAGTATTTAGAGAAGAATTCTAAATACTGGCACAGATAAACGAGGCAGCATGGTACGTTTTAAGCTTTTATTGAGTAAGAAAGATGCATAGGAGAGTGAGAGCTTTATTTAGGGGAGAGAGGTGAATAGGGGTTCATACCGAGCACCAGGAACCAGCCACGTGGATGAGCATCTAGGCCAGGAAGCCTAGAGCACACGGCCTGAAGGCCATGCACCCTGGAGGCGCAGGGCTACAGCAAGCCCTGTCCTGGCAAGAGGCCAGGGAAGAAGAGCAGGCCGGGGGAACACTATGCGTTAGGCTTTTAACCCACTCCAAAGGGGAGTGGTTAATTAACCTGATTGGCTGGTGGGCACCCCAGTGTGTCCAGGTAGGGGAATGAGGCCACACAGGGGCATGGCAAAGGCATCAGGTAGGAGCATGAGGTCACATAGGGGCGTGGTCTTCCAGTTCACAAATCTGATCAATTTTAACCTGTATGCCTGCCTACTTCAGTCTGAAACCATGATCTAAAACAGTTGAACAGTAGCAGTACACTACACCACACTTGGCAGAGCATAGAAACCCCCTAGCATGATCACTCAAGCTTGGAAGTGGATAGGCTACACCTGGTTAATGATAAAAATGTAATTTGTCGCCGGCGCCGCGGCTCACTAGGCTAATCCTCTGCCTAGCGGCGCCGGCACACCGGGTTCTAGTCCCGGTTGGGGCGCCGGATTCTGTCCGGGTTGCCCCTCTTCCAGGCCAGCTCTCTGCTGTGGCCCAAGAGTGCAGTGGAGGATGGCCCAGGTGCTTGGGCCCTGCACCCCATGGGAGACCAGGAAAAGCACCTGGCTCCTGGCTCCTGCCATCGGATCAGCTCGGTGCGCCGGCTGAAGCGCACCGGCCGCGGCGGCCATTGGAGGGTGAACCAACGGCAAAGGAAGACCTTTCTCTCTGTCTCTCTCTCTCACTGTCCACTCTGCCTGTCAAAAAATAAAATAAAATAAAATAAAAATAAAAATGTAATTTGTCTATGCCCTACATGTGATTAAAACCAATACCTGGATTAATGTCAAGATTATAATTGAAATTGTTAAGATTATAACTGGTATTGTCAAGATTATAATTGATACTAGTTTCCCATAGGTTTTAGGTCAGCTTGACCCTAGTAACCATGTATTCCCCCCGATCCTAGCAACCATGAATTCCCCTCCCAATTTTGTGGTTTTTGTCTTTATAAACCCTGTTGCTTTGGGCTTCAGGGTCGAGAGTTCTTTAGGGCATGAGCCCACTCTCCACTGCTGGCAATAAAGGACTGTCAAATTGTATCAACGTGTGGTGCTCCTTTGTTTACACTTGCTCGGGTACAACAGATCCTGGTGGGAATAGCAGACAGTTGGTGAGGCAGGGCCACCTGTTTTAAAGCAGGAGACAACAAGACCAGAGAAGATGAGCAACCTTCCCACAGTCACATAGCTTGTGAGTGGCAGGGCTGTCTGTCTTCATGTTCCAGTTTCCTAACCGTATGCGGGCATGGAGATGCAGGCATGGAGATGCTATTCCTCCCAAAAGAAATCTGCATTTAAACAACTGAGATTGAATTCACCTGATGCCAGTTTTCAGGCTGCTCTCCAACATAGCTCAGATGTCTCCATGGCAATACCGTATCTCCAAGGAGCACTGGCATTCTAAGGCAGTTTATTTTTAGTGAGTGTGTTGTATACTTCTTTCCTCCTACTGCTTTAACAAAGATGTTTTTGTTAGCAAAATAAGCATAGCACTGCTGTGAGGC